GCGCGTGTATTGAGGTTCATCAACGTTGGTGGAATAGATATGTATTGAATATCAAATGAAAAGAAAATATAATTGTCTCTGCACCTTCTGAAATACATTTTCAAACAAGTTAGAAAACAGATTACTTACAAATACCATGCTGAACTTAGACTTAATATTGCAAGTGCTCATTAGTATGATTTTGTTTTTGTTTAGGAGCTATTGGTCTTCTTGTGGAGCACAAATCTTTTGGAACATGGCTATGTAAGTTAGATTTGGACTAATCTTCTGTCAGTGAGGAGCAGAGGCCAGAAAACTGCCATTTTTTGGATGGTCTGGGACGGAATGAACAAAATCGTCCGCATGTGAATCATCGGATGGCTTGCTTTAGTTGACTACATCGCGCAAGTGTAGGAATGTCATGTCTTACCCTTATTTCCCTCATGGTGTCATTCGCGTAAACATCTCGATTCATGGCAAATCACTTTCTCATTGGGCCAATATTATCACGAGACAATTCTTGGAAAACTTTATCATATCAACGTTGGAGTGGTCACCAGTAACAAATAGCCCGATATGAATCCTACAGGTATGTGAAATCCCATGAAACAGCAGCTGAAGAAAATTGACGTTGCTCCCAATCAGAGCCTGTGACATCTGGGATGAAATGACTAATAATTGTCCAAAATTTAGCAGAGTCGATGCCCTATGGGTTCATGCACTACACAAAACCAATGGCTCCTACGTAAAATAACAATGAGAACATTTAATGTTGCCCAAGTTTATGTGGTATTTGTGATTGCTCTGTTTTCTGTTTTGTTTGAAATTGAAACTATCGACATTAAATATTGTTTATTGCAGAGAAACAAATTCTCCATTCATTGGATAGGAAACGTATGTTCATTCTATCAATATTGATGGTCCCAAATACACGCACGAAGACAACGTTTCTGTGATTTCGCACAATTTTGCCAAGCCTGATTTTTTAAGGTCAATTTTGAATGACTATATTATTATCTCGAGCATCTCTTAACATAGATCAAATATTATTGTGTCAAATGAAGCTGAATTTATTTAGCTTTAAATTGGTATGCTGTATGAGTGGGTCGTGCAAAGGAGATTGCATTATCAAGTTTCTTCTGGAACCCACTGTATAATACACGTTCGGGTGTGTTACACCCAGTTGTCGGTCAAAGGGATATAAATAGGTTGCCGTGAAAAGGGTTAATATGAAAAGCCCAAATTACTCTCAGCGATAAATCGTATTACATTCTTCGAATAGTAGAACAGTCAGATTTATTAAACTCCATATTCTGTTTACACATTCCTATTTATAGTGTCCAATCCCCTATAAATTGGGGACATTCCTTGCGCCAGATGACTCTTCGCAAAAATTTGCCTGCATTCTGTGTTTTGTTACCTAACAAATGTAAAAAAGAGGCCCACGAAGTTATTAGTTGCAAAATTCTAATGACACAAACTCTCCCTACACCCTATCTTGCTAATTTGTTATTGTAATCTCTGGACCCTAATCGTCCACAGACATTCGGTACTCAGTACTGTGGTGTACAGTGACTGTTCGGTAGTCATAGTAGATAGTAGATATTTATCTAGTGTGCAGTGTGTAGTCCTAGCAGCTTTGACGTCAGATTACGGCTTACTTAAATGATCTGGGTGACCTTGATAGATCTACAGCTTTAGATTGAAAATAAGACAAATGAAAAACAAAGTTTGCTCAAGTTTTAAAATATGGCTTCAAATCAGGTTCCACGTGAGCCACTTTGCTTATTTTGATACGCCGATTTCGAAAATGAAATTATTTTTAGCTGCGATGATTTTTTTGAAAAAAATCCCGCTCGGCGGCAAACTTCAAAGGAATTTTGCGTCACAGCCTCCCACTTGTCATTTCACACTGGGGG